TAAACTTTTGTCCACTTATCTTTTCCCAAACTAGTGATTATACTAAGCTCTCGCCTAGTAACCCTCGTGAAAACTGCCGGCTTGCCTTTGAGTTAGGAACTCGACTTGGAATTCCGCGAGTGCTTGACGCCTCCGATGTGATCCAGCTGCATAAAGCTCCTGACCGCCTCAGCATGATAACGTATCTACATCAATTGCGCATGGTTTGTACTCGAATAAATGGTGATGCAGCTTCTCATTTTGTCTCCTCGGTGGCTACAGCAGCAAGGCAATTTGAAGTGAGTGAAGTGCCTCCATCACAGCCGACTCTTGGATCCCACCATACTAGCTCTCCTTATTTGAGTTCTGATCCGCAATATGAAGAAGAAAATAGAGCTAATAGTGAGGTTGAAGTTCCTTCTCCAAGTAAACACGCTGATGGGTAAGATCGACATGCAAGAATGCACTTAAAACATATACATGCACATGTCATTGGTGATGAGATTTCATCTTAACCGACATTCTACCGCTGGAATACAGCTTTTCGTTTTGATGACACCTTTCGGTTCTTGACTGCTTTAGGCTTTTGAGGCTGTACTCGATATGAGAGCTAATTCCAGAATTCTATTGGAATTACCCAGCAATGATTCCACAGCCCACGAACACGATGCTTTTCTTAATGAGGAGTAGGGCAGATTAAGAATCTCCTGCAGATACAGTTTCTATCTAAGAGCCATATCTTGCTTCATTCATCTTTTGTACATGTTACTGTCGCCTTTTAAAGTGTGCCTTCGGGCTGCAATGTCACTCAACATGATAGCATGATAGCAGATTTTGTTCATTAATCTCAAATCAACCTAGTAAAGTTCTCACATTGTATTTTTTTACTTATTATGAGTTCTTCCGTATTCCAAATATATTTTTTTTCCGTACTCTAACAATATATATATATACTACTTATAATCGAAATAATATAAACTTATATTTTCCATACAAATTGGTGACGTTATTTATTTCCAATGTGAGTATTTGAGCATAGCGAAACAGCAGCCAGCTCTGAATGAGAAACATTTTGAGAGTCATGGCTATGTGAAATTCAATTGCCTTGCGGGAAGAACTCATTTCCTTATGGGAAATTTCACTATCAGTCCTTTATTAATCTTAATCAATGAAGGGTGAGAATTCTTATAAAAAATTACGAATAGTCGAAATATAATCACACAGAAAATATGCGATCATCTTCTGTCCAGATCAAAACGATACGTCCTGTTGTCACAATATGCTTACTGATTTTCAATATTTCTATTATTTTCTATGTATACATTTATAAGCATATAGGTAAATTCTACAAAAGTTTCATACGCTCCTAAAGCCTATAACTTCGTAGCCTTAGAGAGCCAACAATAAGGTAATGAATTGACCAACGTTTTTTTACGAAATTTCCCGTTATTATCAACTTTTCTATCCGTCTTTACTGTTCTGTTTAGCCGGACTTATTAAGTAATCTATATCTGATCTTTGTCCTTTGACTTTTAAACGTATTTAATGCGTTTTATACTATATTTGGTTCATTATGTTCTCAATATACACTCTGTCTTTTTTATTCAGCTTTGAAAGCAAAAATTTTATTCCTGCTTCTGTCGCTATTCACTTTGGGAAAACTAAGGTACTCTAATTACAAATAACCGTTTTATAGTCTTAACTTTCTTTGTTTAACAGTTTTTGGAAGCATAAAATATTATAAATTATCAACTTTTTAGATGGAATTAATAAGGATTTTTCTTATGCCCTATCTTACTATTCGTAGTTTGGGGAAAAATGATTCTACCTTATTTTTGCTTAAAGGGTTTGATGATAAATTTTGTTTTAAAATTACAAATGCCACTCCTTGAACATATTTATTTATTGAGTATCCATTAGCGCATGCAGTATCATCGTTAATATCTTGTGGAAATATCGCCAATGTTTACTTGATATCCTTGCCTATTTCCTCAACTTCACATATTTTTCTCACACCATTATATGCTATTTCATATTAAACTTTTAATTATTTCTTAAATTTAGATTAGTTTTAAATTCGTTTTACACCTTTAACTAGTTCATAGAAAAAAAGTTGCCAGCACGAGCAGAAGCTTTGGTTTAAATACGAGCCTCCGGGCTAGTTTTACTCTTTCCTGAATCCTTATATTCTTAGTCGAAGATATGAAGACCAGGATGGTGTAGCCTTTTGTATGGTAGTGGTCTCCTTTCGTTGTATAGAAGTTGTTTGTTCTTGTTTTCGCAACTTCGTCATATTGGTAGGAAGACCTAGAGGAATGCATTTTGTCCGGAGTCCATAGTATGCAGGATAACTTCCAGAGTCAATTCGTGGGCGTGGTACATTCCCAGACGTTTCACTGGCATCGTCAGTGAGCCTCGCCACTTTTAGCACCACATTCCAACTCGTCAAAAGAGACAAGTTAATCCGATCCTCTGATCAAATGTGTGCTAAACAATTGTGGTATCTCTCCTTCTGTCCTGGGATATTCACCTATCCTATATCCTAGTGTCATCCCTTCAATATCACAATTTCTTGTTTATACAGATCTATTTAAAATCTATTCACACTCCCCACTAGTTTCCTCATCACTCAAACTATGTCGGAAGTGTTGATCCAAAGCTTTAATTAAATCCGCAATCCTCTCTCTTCGGGTCCTACCAGAGTCCCTTCTTGCTCCGTAGGATTCTTCCCTATCTTAAGCCTTTGATAGAATGTATACACCACCCTCACTGAACAAGCCCCTAAAGTCTTGATTCTCAATTGGCATGGCAACCTAACTTGACGCTGTAGGTTCCTTTTTCAATAACTCTATTCTATTAATACTAGGCATCTTCTATGCTATGCACTCAAGAATGTTTTACTTCATTTACATCCGCACTCAACTTTTTCCATTACTGCAATGTTTCGTATTTACTGCTGAAGATTCTACAGAAGGAAAGGCTCATAGTTTTGGCTTACAAATTCCGATTTCTCTCTGGCATGGGGTTATAGCGTAACCAGTGATCTGTCTAATCGATTTAAGCATATTCTATGCCAAGGTTCTTATTATAAAGCAAAATACCTAAATTGTGATTAACTTATTATGATACACCATTTTTGGCTAACCGGCTTAGTAGCTCTTCTCAATTTAAGCCTTTTCTTCAATTCTTTAATGTTGTTGTATCTTAAATTAAGTTATATGTTAATACCTTGGCAATAGATTTGACATTTTTAGTAACTACGTCACTAAAATTTTTATTTATATAATAATTTACTTCATTTATTTGTTTTTTTACGGTAGATCCTCTGCACCAAGCAAATGGTCGCTAAGGCTCGCACTCTGTTAGAACAGACTCGGGCTCAAGCCCGTAACGATTTCTCACCTTCCACATTACAGACATCTGGTACTGGCGGCCGGAGTCCTGTCCATTTGATACAAGAGTCTGATAAAAATGCTTTTATGCACCCTCAGCGTCGCGCCTCAACAGGTAACTTACCTAACTATATTTGATGTGTGCCTTTTAAATTTGCTTACTTGCTCTGTCAACCTGCACATTTGCAGCGTATTTTTTATATCAAAGTGCTGTCTGGTTCATGCAATGCTTTTTTCCTCCTTTAAACAAGTGAAATTCTCGTTATTTTCAGTCATATTCTTATGTGAAAAATTTTGATTGCATTCTTTTGAGCCCGACTTAAGCTAATTATCTATCCTATACCCTGTATGAATATATAAATAGTTGGTCTGACTGCGACATATATTTCTAAGTCTTTAAGTGAAAAGTTTTTAGAAATGTTTTAGGAATAATAAATCTAAATCCTATATCATCTTAAATAGTCCTTGGCTTATCGTTATTATTTGTTGGGCTTCGTATTTTACCATATATTCTTTTCTTGTCATCTTTATTTAATGATATAGTTTTTGTTTCCACCAAACATCTTGATTGTCAAATAAGGATTGAATGTATTATTAATTATTATTAAACTGTATCCGTTTTATTTAGAAATATCAATAAATAAACTCTTAAAAAATTTTTTTTCGCAAGTTTTCATATAGCTAAAGTTTACACAAACTCAACGAAGTAACCAAAAACTTTTCATTTTTTATTAGTTTTGTCTAAGCATTTAATAATCAGACGAATTGGAAGCATTATATTAATGTTGATTTCGCTCGCAGGACTAAACTTTTTGACCCCTTATTTCTAAGAAAATATATCTGCACATTTTTCTATAGAGTCGCTGCTTAATACTCTTAAAATCTATGAATGCTATCCATCTTTTCTGCTAAGTTATCTTGCCCGCATGGTTCCGGTTATTGTGCTCCCCAACATAATTTCTAATAATCTAACTTTTAAAAGTCCAAGGTCTGTAGCAAGAAAGCATCTTAGAACTTCTCATTGTTCCAATAAACAATTTATACCTAATCATCAAGCAAATATTAGATATTGCTTCTTTTACATTTATATCTCTTACTTATCAATACCACGCAAATCGTTTGGGCTCGTACATTAAAGTCAGCATTGGTTCAATCTGAACGTTACTGCCATTTTCGGCTAATTATTTCATGATTGCATTTTCACGACTCTGGTTTCTCCATTACAAGTTAATTTGATTCTTACTACAACTAGAGTGTCGACCTTTCTCATTTTTCATTAACCTTTTGATGCGTCGATATGTGGAATATAAAATGACGCTATGAATGGAAAAGCCGGGCAGGTAATATCTGCATGGTTGCTTGTGGTAGTTGGTTTAGTCTTTCGAGTGCACCTCGCTCCGCTGTACCAATTTTATGAACTGCTGCAAAGAAATAATATTCTTTCAATTGGCTTTATTTTCTTCAAATTTCTAGATGGCTGGTCGTACTTCAATATACGATTTTGAAGTAATTATTACACTTATTCGCATTCGTCTAGTTATGCTTAACAACTCTTAGCCAATTAAAATGTGCAGTATCAAACCCAAATTTACATCTACTTGACCAAACTCAAATAATTGATGCCGTTTCCAAATGGTTGAGTAGAATATTGGAAAATATATTTGATGTATGAAATATTTAGATAGGTCTTGCAGCATCAGAACTTGCTAGCTTCATGGCTTTAAAGTAAGACTTGGTTTTTGTTGCAGGCTATAAAAATGCTTTATGCTTTAGAGGTCAGTTAATTCAATCACCTATCAGAGGGTGTTAGCTAGGATCCCATTGAAGCCTTGATGCATTTTGAAACGTTGGACTATTCTTTTGATTTGACTTGAATTTCAAAAAAATCGAATTTTCCAGCCAACCTTTTAAGCTTTTTGTTTTAGACGGAAATTGTTTTTTGGGTATACAAATTAAATCTCAACATTTTTATTTAATTATTTATGGTATAGATTTTTTGTTCAGCCATAACTACTCAATATACTCATTGCATAATATAATTCATTTGATTTATAGTTTTTTTTATATTTTTTACTCATCTGAATTAGATATTTTATTCG